AACAGTGAAGTACTCCCTGAAAAACACTCATGCCAAAAAAAATAAAAGTTCCAGGAAAGAAGCATAGTGGGGAAAAAAACTAGTAGAAAAGGGAGAGAAAGGAAGAGCCAAACAGGTGGATGAAACTTTCTGGACAGTCACAGCAAGGAATGTGTGAACAACAAGTGGGTTTGTTCCTTGCTGAAAGTGTAGCAGGCTGTGTTAGAGAGAGATGTCTTGCGGGAACAAGCATACTTTTGAGATGGCTTTCAGGACTCTTGTGTCAAAGTGGAAACTTCTAATCCTCAAAATGAGTAAAAGATATAGTGATGAGAACAAACTCATAGTTCCAGCCATTGCCGTTTATTTTTGTCTCTCTTCCTCGCAACAGAAATTTTGCATTACACAAATACAAAATGTTTTGGGTCAGGATTTCAAAGCAGAGTGTAAAAATGAGGCTTGTTTTTATAGGTGTGAAAAAATGCTAGCTCCCAGCTCAAGTCAGGAGGTAATTTAGAACCTGGAGATAAGAGGTATTTGAAGAGATTCTTAAATATCAGCAGGATGGTCCAGGAAGGGCGCTGCCATTTAGAAATTAATATTAGGGAAAGTAAATGGCTTTCAGGAATGCTGAGGCTTGGCTTTCCAGCTCTTGTATAGTGAGGATTGTAGACAAATAGGAATATAGATAAGTAGGATTTTTCTTGACAACAGAATTCAGGTTGGTATCTCCTCTTAGCAATAAAGTCATTCTTCATTCAGCAAAAGCCACCCTCTATTTGTTGATATTGCTTGTACTTGTATACACTTCTGTGTGATGATGCAAAATATTTTGAGGATTTTAGCTTTTGGTATTGTAAAATACATAGATAAACATGGAAACATTTAAGTATCCCCCAGTCAAATCTGTCCTGAGAAACGCGATTCAGAGAAAGCCGTACAAACCATTGGCCTTTTTCTACTATAGATGAACTTCTCACCTTCATGCATTGCTCACCTGCTGATATCTTTTCCCCACTGTGCAGCAGGAGATGAAAATCTGGTAACTGCCAGCTCTCCCTCCCCTGCGTCACCTCCACCTGCACTCTCCACATCACTCTCACCTCCAGACACTGTTGAAGGTAACGGTGAATTTGGGACTGCGGCATTGCTGCTCTTCTCCTGTTTTAGCTGAACTGGCATCTACTTCTATCATACATTGGTTAATTCCATCACTGTTAAAGCAATCTGGTGATTTATGTTGTCTGAGGTCAATTATACTACAGCAAAATTTGTTAGTGTAATGAGGACATATTTATTGTTTTATTTTAATTAAATCAAAGGTGGGGATTTCAAACACATTTTTCGAAGAAAGCAATTAGAATTCAAGCTATAACATGCTGTTGCTATGAGTTTGTTTTCCTTACAGACGCCCCTTCCCCTTGAGCTCTCAGATGAGAGTTTCATGCTGAGCTGTCACAGTGGCACTTTCCTGCAGTTCATGCAAAGCTCCTTGGGCACCACAGCGGTATCTGATTGTGGGAAGAGGGTCCTTCCTGGGTCAACAATATGAAACAAAACCACCCCAATCAGTCTGGGCTTTTTGCAAGCTGCACGTTAATTCACCTCCTTCAGCTGGTGTTTCAAACACCTGCAATTAGTGCATCCCGCACACCTTGCTAAAGGATGATCAAATCTCTTCACCATAAAGTCATCCCAGCCAAATTGATGGGAATTTGTAATTCATGGTCTTGCAGACCTAATTGCAAGCCATGCTCTTGCAATAAATCCAAGCAGATGTGTTGCACAGCCTGTGCAGGAACTGGAGAGCAATGTAAATGTGTTCTTTTTTCTAGTGTTGGAGGGAGAAATACAATTCAGAGAGCAGCTGGCAGCCTTTCTGCTTGCAATGAGCTTCTCATTTTCATGCATCACTCACCTGATGGTATTTTTTCCTCACTGCGCAGCAAAAGATGAAAATCTGGTAAACACCAGCTCTCCCTCCTCTGTGTCACCTCCACCTGCACGCTCCACATCACTCTCACCTCCAGGCACTGCTGAAGGTAACAGTGAATTCGGGACCATGGCATTGCTGCTCTTCTCCTGTTTCAGCCGAACTGGCATCCACCACAGCCTTCCTGATGCTGTCTTCACCTCTCAGGCTGCACAGCACAGACTCCTGTGGACAATATCAGTCCACATATCAGATGCTTGATATTTTGGGGGTCTGGTTTTTGCTACATGCCACTAAATATTACCTAAAAATTGTGTAATTCCCTGGAGAAAGCTCAGCTGATAGTTAGGAGGAAGGAATGTTTCTTTTTGTATTTTTGGCATATGATTGTATTTAATTCCTTGAAAGTTTAATTTACACTTTCTCTCTCTCTTTCTCTTCTTAAGGAGTTGAGTCAGCAGCAACTACACCTGGTAAGAAACTTTTCATTTACAAAACAGAACTGCAGTAGTGTTTTTTTCCAATCATTTCTTCTTTCCTTTTCCTGCGCATAGTTATCTCACAGAGTGTGTAATGCCTTTTCATTCAGCCCAATGAAATGAAACACGCTGTCTTACGAGGCAAGAGTATCAGACAAGTCTGGGTTTGAGTCATGAATTTGAGCATACTTTAAAACGCATCGTTTAGCATGAAAGAGGTGCAGTCAGTGCCAAAAAGGATTATACTTACTGGATGTTCAGCTGACACCTGTTGGACCCCCTAACACCTTGAGGGTTTAGTGTGCCTTTGCTTACTAACAAATTCACAGTGCCTCAGTATGAGAGCACTCCAGTACAGCAGTCCTGTGTTGTGTGCAGCTTTGTGTCCCTCCTTGACGCAGCAGCCTCCAAAGCTTTAATGAAACTGATATACCTCTCACCACAGGTGTCTCTCCTGCAGACAGCACATACCTCTCCACGCATGCAGGCTCCGTCCCTGCCATGGGACTCAGCAACCCACCACGCAGCAGCACTGCTGCCCTCACCACACGCACTCCCATTGCCTTCAAGAATGCTTCATCAGGTTTGACATCTTCCTTTAGATGCTACTCACTGCTCTCTGAACTTTAGGGGAAAACTAAGTAACTCAGCCTCACAGTAGCCTTCTCTAGCTGACAGTTCATCAAATAGGAAAGGTATCTGCAATTTGGCATAGTGGCAATACCAGAATTATTTCCAGGATCCGGTATCTGATGGCCAAGTTTCGTAGTCATCACAGTGGTATCAAAATGCCAGCTGCTGTCAATGAGGCTGTTGCCAAAGCAAGAGCAATAGGAATGGACCTAAAAGAGAGTATAAAACCCTATCAGTGGTTTGTAAGCAGAGAGATAAATACTGAGATACAGTAAGTAATATAGAGAGCAAGGTCTGTGATCTCGCAAATGAACACTACTTGAGTGTTTTTTTCTGAAAGAGCACAAGCACTGTTCATAATTGTGTTTTACTTAAGAATATGGCAAAATGTTTTAGTTTTTCCTAGTTCACAATTATTAATGCCATTTTTATGTTGACTCCATCCTGGATTATGCCTAAATAATGAAAAAAAAATTGTCCTTGTACATAGCAAAATTCATTAGTAAGTAGTATATTCCTAAAAATTTGCTATTTAAATACCCATTTTCTGTTTTATTGGATATATTAACATGATTTTTCATTTAGCACTCTTCTCTAAATTACAAAAATCCCAGAAGAAAAAATAAAACGGAGAAGGGCTGTAGTGTAACACATTTCTGATGACACAGCCATATGAAATAATGAATTTTCCTTTTTAATGCTATGTTGTTTATTTCCTTACAGATGATTACAGTTCAACATCCTTGCACGGCACCATCTCACCAGTCAGCATGCCAGCAAGCACTGGGATCATCCCCACTCACACAATAGGTGACAAACTTGCACACAGTTACCGCAATTATGATACTGCAAGCACAGAAAATGTGTTAGAATGAGGGAATTCATCTTGAATTTCTTTTATCAAACTTAAGCATACATATTAGGCATACAACTGCATTAAACTTAAGAGGGTTTTTTAGGTATTTTATTAATAGTTTATGAGCAATATTAAAGATACCAGATTTGCTACTTGTCAAGCAAGTGAAAAATAGAAGTTATTTCCACACAGTGGCATAGTAGGAGGGTAAATCTGTCAATTACTGTGTCAGTACTCCTCTTGATATGCCCTGAAATTTGCCCAAGCAGCAAAAAAGTATGAATACATCCAAGACCTGTGTGCTTCTCTGTTTTCCAGTGGTTTCCCTTTCGTTTCACTCAGCATTAGCATTTTCTTGGGATCTAATTGGCAAGCACTTACACACATTATTATTGCAATTGGGCTGTAAGGAATTACTCAGGTCAGTAAAATATATATATGTGTCTGAGAAAAGTACGTCCAGGACTTGAACCCTTACCATCTTTGTAACTGCCCTTCAAGTAGCTGTAGGCTGCTGTCAGCTCTTTCACAGACTAAGCTTAGCTTTTACTTGCGGGTCTTCTGCTCCTAATCATCTTGGTAACTCTCCACTGGACCGTCTCAGTTTCCCTCTCATTAGAGGCACTACTCAGCCAGATGATTCCCAATCTGCAGCGATGCAAATCCCAGGCCTATCTTCTATGAATAAAATTAGATATCAGCCTCTTTTGGTAATACTTATACCTTAGCATGTTTTAAGTAGTTGTTTTCAGGATGAAGTTCTTTGCCCAAGCTTCTGTACAGATTTTCTAAATACCAGCTCATAATTTCTTTTGGGTATTTCAGTGTAAAAATAGTTGTAAAATGATCTGTACTGTTGCATAAATCTCTTTCCAAAGGGAAGAGTAGCTGTGCAAAAAGTAAGTAAATTTTGTTTCTTTAGTGACATTGATACTGTTCAGTTAGCCGTTCCACAGCACACGTATGCTGGGAAACTGCTATAGCTTATCATACCGCTATGAGAATGTATGATTTTAGAATATCCTTGTGTAACTTGGTATGCAGAAATATTATTAATAACCAGTCTGATTTGTAGTCAGTGATGTCATTGGAAAATGATGAAAGACACATGAGCCCTAAAATAACTAGATAAAAAATGAGGTTATATGTAGCTGATGTTTTCTTCCCTTTTTCAAATGTGAGTGGAATGCCAAATACAATTGTATTGAATATATTGAATGAAGAGTTTTGGGCAGTATCAGTTATCCTCCTCCAATGCTCTGTGAAAAAAAACCCAAAAACAAACCTGTTGAGCTACACCTTCATTTTGTTTTCTTTTCTTATAGAAGCTCCCACAGTGACAACTGAAGAACCTTGTGGTAAGAGCCAAACCCTTTATTTTTCCTCCGTCTTGAAATTTGACCAAATCAGTAAACTCAACTACAGAAAACTGATCAGTAAAACTGATCAGTTAGTATCTCAGGTTATTTTATAAACCGTCTTCCAATTCTGGAAGAGTAGCATTAAAGTCATTAACATTTCTGGTCTTCTCATCTCCATTCACAGTTCTGTTAAATTGCCCTGCACTAGGCTGTTGATATTCAGGGCTGCAGAAGAGATCTGCTTTCATTCCACTAGGCCCTCTCTGATTTTTCCCCATCATGCTGATAATTACATGGTGCAAACTGCAATTCATAACTGAAATAAAACTGGAGTTTATACATTGGTTTATCTCTCTTCAATATTAGAGACCTCTCCTTTCTAGTTTTCAGGAATAGACTATAGTAATTTTTTACTAGGTGGTTATGAAATGCGTTGAATAAGAAAATTTGAAATTTCTGTTTAAACAAATGATTCAAGGTGTTAAAAGAAAGTATTCCACTTTGAACTGACATTTTAAATTAAAGCAAATCTGGTTCTGGAATGCTCAGCTTTTTAATTCTTTAGTTTTCCTAACTAGAGAATTGTTTAAAAGAGTATTTTCCTAAGGAAATTTTCTGTTTTGACTAAACATTTTTTAAAGTAAAAAATAAAAAAAAAAAACAATAAGGAGCAGCTAATTTTGCTGGATTTTCTGATTCTTAAAACACATATGGTGTTGGGGGTGCCATAAAACATTTAATGGTTCTCCAATTTGTCATAAAATTATTGTTTGCTATTGTGTCTTTTTCTTTTAGATGATAAAATTGAGTACATCATAACAAGCATAACAGATGTGAAGGACATGGTTGAAGTTACACTGAAAAATGTCAGAAAAAACAGAAAATATGAAATTTTGGAGACTAATGAGATTTTCCATGGGAATTTGAGCACCTATACAGCAAGACTTTGGAGATGCATGAGATACACAGTTAGAGCGGAGAGCTGCACAGACAATTATCTTACTATTCAGCCTGGTAGGTATGGAAGGGTTCTAGCAACTTCTTCTTTTTCCTGCTTCCCCCCCACCCCCAACATGCAGTAATTCAGCTTTCCTGGATTTCTTAGTCTATTCTTGTCTCTTTTCAAAGGATCAGACAGAAGGTTTTCATACTTTGTGCTTGGTTAGCAAGATATTTTGCATTTTGAAGTTGCACCTTAAAACCTCTCAGTATTTTCTTACAGTAGGATGTAAAAAGCCATAATTTTCTCATTGTAAAGGAAAAAAGGGAACTTCAGCTACGTTGGCCATATGCAGCATGGTTAGCAATAGCAAGACCAGCCAGCACTTGAAAGCTACTATTTATGCTGGATGTTTTGTTCACTAAATAGATTGTTGGATTAAAAGTTTCATTTATTATTTGAATACCAGTAGTGTCTTTACCTCATGTAGGCTTTTTAAATTTTTACTTTCCATTTCTTCTTAAATGATTTATATATTATTCTGTGCCAAATGTATCTTCATATTGCAGAACAAATATAAAAGAACAAATTGCTATTTAAAGAATCAATATAGCCAATGTCACAGTGACATATAATATTAATCCATTTCAGAGAGCAGCAAGGCTCCTTTCAAAGTTGAGAATATAACTGACACATCTGCAAAGGTGTGTTGGGAGAACTCATTGAACTGTGCTAATGTGACTGTTAAATGCAAAGGTAAGACACTTCTAAGATATTTTAAAAGATGATTATTTATTTTTTTATTTTTAAAAGCAATGTTCATGTTGTCTTTTGATGAGAGACTGGCAGATTTAAATTAACTGTGCCAATTTGAGGAAGGGCTGTTCAGAATTTCTGGGATCACCAGGTTGGGGACTACCATCCCCATGCACTGCAGATCTGGAGAAAGTTCAAACCCAGAGAGCTCATTTCCTGAGTTTACCAGCTTCACAAATTGCAGACTTCTGGAGATTTTGAAGTCCTGCTTAATGGTCTGAAGGGGAGCTGAGAGTTTGGAAATCCTGCAGTCTGTGGGTCTGCTGTGAGCTGATCCCTTGCAGACTATCCAGGCAGCTGGCTCTGCAGGCTCCTGGACAGTGAGAGTCCAGGCTCTTTGCTCTTGGAGCTGGCCAGCCTGAGGAGATGCTGGCTCTAAGGCAGCTATGTGGTAAGGAAGATATGGATGCTGGATGTCCTCATGTGTCTCAGCAAAATGTGTGATGAATGAGCGGGGCTGGAGACTTCATGTTTCAGGGAGCTGAAGAACTAAGAAGCCACTCCAGGGTTCTGCCAGACTCCCATGAAATGTTTTGATTTCTGTGGGAAAACTATGTCAAATCATATGAGCTTTACTGATGAAGATTAAAGATCTATGCAAACTAAGTTAGTGTAAAAGAAACTAAAAGCTAGTCATTGGATTAGGTTGTACACTTTTCTGTTTGGAATATTATTTGTCATTTTTTATTACAAATTATATTGAATAAATATGGTAGAGAAAATCCAAGTTAAAATGGTACCATGTACTTTTGGAGTTGTGAAAAATATTGATAAAACTCTTTTTGTGTCTACAGATTTAACAGGCTTTACAGAATTAGGTCAAACTTGTAGAGAGCTGAACACTTTATCACCCAACCGTGAGTACAAATGCACTGGTACCGTACATTTTTATGAAGAGGAGGTTGTCAGCCAAAGCTTCAACATAACAACGGATTATGGTGGTAAGTGTAACGCTTATTTTTGCTTTATGTTCAAAATATTTCTGGAAATCCCTACTATGAATCCCACTATCTGTGCTTCCTGGGGTTGAAGACATATTTTGAGCAGCATGCGCAGCCACTCTGAGGTTCTCCTCCGGCTCCTCCTGCCCAGTCTTTTGCCCTTGTGATTGTTCTTTGGCTGCAATCACAGTCTTCATTTCCTGCTCTAGACCAGTCTCAGTCTTCCAGTCTGATGCCTTCATCTCCTTCTCTCAGAGACTGTGATTATTTTTTTTTTTTGGAGGGTGAGAACATGGCCAAATATAAGGGAGTTTGAATGAACACTGAAAAAAAAAAAAGTGCAGGCCTAGTCAAAAACAAGTGTTAAATTCTTGATTTGAAGAAAGATGTGATAGAATACTTGCAAAGAATGTCTCCAGATAAAGTAACGTGTTTTTCCAAAGCATTGTCCTTGGAAATAGCTTAGATTTTTTTTTTTTCTGAATTAAAAAGGAAATCAACCTAAATTAAGTAACCTGCAAATAAAAATTCAGGCCAAACATTTAATGTTTGTTAAAATGATAAGGAAATAAAAACAATGTATAATATTTGGAAATGTTGGACAATTTTAGTAATATGTGATATTGCTGTATTCACCTTGTCCTGAATTAATTAAATTTATGAAATTACTCTAATATGGTGCTTTTACATATATTCAGTTTATACTTATGTGTAATTTCTTTGAATGAAATAGACTATGAAAAATATTACATGTTGTTGGTATCTTGCTTTAGTATCCAATGAAATTTAATTTAATCAAAGTAGGTAAAAAAAAGGAATATTTTTCATTTTCATTCAAACATTTCCTTCCCTCCCCATTATTTTTCTTTTACAACAGCTCCAGAAGCACCAGAAAACCTTACAGTACTTTGTGATGCCAGAAGTGTATCAGTTACATGGAAGGAACCTAGTGACATTTCAAAGGGTCCTATAGATGGCTATATAGTGAGATGCAATGGCACGGGTAAGTATATGCCCCTTCAGTAGTGAAAAATTAATTGTGTGTTTTAATATTTACAGAGCAGTAAGCATGATGCACTGTCAAACCATATTGGAATCTCTTCAAACTGTGCATAAATTTGTTTGGTTTGGTTGGGATTTTTTTGTTACAAACGTTTCAGTTTCTTTCCTTTGTTCCAGCTGAACCTTGTGTTTATTCAGTTTACCATTTCAGGACACAACTCTGTCACTCCTCAGTTCTCATGCTTCGCTTCTTGTATTAAGAGTAGGTTATGACAAGATCATCAGTTGCCTGATCAGTTTGTAGCATGGTACTCTCTGTCTCAGAAAATGCTGCTATAGCTGGTTAATACATTCCCTGAGAAGACAGGAACATGCCTTCTGAGTAACAGCAATGTATGTAAAAGTCAAGGGTCTTAAGTATGGCAGTTATCACATACATGTTTAGATAGGTAAAGGCAGGTTGTTGGCCTAACAACTAAAACCGTCACTCCTTTCAGACATGCTGGTTTAGGCCACCCTATATTTAGATGGGTAAGTTTGTATCCATTATGCTGTGACAGTGTTTTCCAGGTGTGAGTTTTTCTTCAAAACAAGGACTGGAAAACGATGTTTTGAAAATGAAGACCCTGATACATGATTCCAGGAAATATATGTCAGGTTTAAGTTAGTCCTGGGTTAATTCATTCCTTTTGTTCACATACTGCATGTTTTGTAAACCTGGACTGCCACTGGAACCAAAAGATGTCATGCTCCTGTGCTCCTGAGATACAAATAATCTCTCCCATTCTCCATGCCCCAAATTTGAGCACTACCCAAAAGGGTGGCAGCCCCATGCACCAGTTTCTGTGGTTGGTCTGGCTTGGCCAGTCTAGGAGACCAAGGCAGTATGCTGGGGTGTGGCGAGGTCACATCTGAAGCAGAGAGAAGGAAACATGGAAAGGCCATTGCTTCCCACTTCCCCAAACCACCAAAGTCCTAGTTGCAGTGTGGGTAGTAGCTTCGCTCATGTTCCTTATCGTGCAATTCCTTTCTGTCCTGCTTGCTACTACCAAAAGTACATGACATCTCTCGCATCATACCAGGACAGATGTGCCCAGTGTGCAGAGTGACTTTTGACATCTGTCTACTAACCTTCCCAAGCTGAACACAGAAGAAAGTATCAGCCTCTCTTTATCAATGCACTTTATGTTAGTTTTTAATTATACCCATTTAAATGACATACTGAGAAAGTAAAAAACAGAACAGAACAAAACCTCAACTTTCTACCTTTTTGATTGGGGAATTATTTCTTTCTCTTCCTGAGCATTCACTTAGCATTAGTAAGCAAGACAAACCAACCACGTACAAGGTAATTAAAATAGAACTACACATGGCAGTGGCTTCAGGTAGCTCTGATGAAGTGTAGGAGTTCCTGTGCTCCTAACATAAATTTCATTCATTTAATTAATTAACTTCATTTTTCATTTTTTCTTAAAGAGGAAGAACAAGACAACACAACTAACTTTATTTGCCGTGAATTAGAACCTTATACCAGAGGTATGGTATATGTGATTCCATATACATTCAGCAAATATAATAGCGGAAAAATTAGGGGAAAAGCTGGAAGATGTAACTTTACAACAAAATCAGCAGGTAAGTCTCTTGTCTGCTAACTGTTATGGACAAGACTGATACTAATACAGGGAATACGTGCTTTCTTACTGTACTTCATTACATTTTCTATATGTTATTACTATTAGCCAAGAAACTGACTGACATTAAAAGAATTGTATTGACATTCATATCACTAGTGGTTTTTTAATTATGTAATGCTAATTATTTTTAATTATGCATTTAGTATTAGTATTCTTCTCACATATACCAGATTTAAAACCAAAAAATTCTGCATTCATTTAAAATTTTTGATAAGATTTTAGAAAGCATTATGTCTCAATCTAAAGAAGCGATCATGAAATGATAAGAGTTCTTGATTCTTGGAGAAGTAAGGAGGGGAGTCAGCTGAATGGCTTCCTTGGACTTCCAGAGGGCAGACTTAGACCTGTTCAGGAGCCTGGTTGACAGAGAGTCCTTTGGGAGGCAGTCCTGAAGGGGAAAGCGATCCAGGAAGGCTGGACATTCTTCAAGAAGGAAATCCTAAAGGCACAGGAGCAGGCCGTCCCCATGTGCTGAAAGACGAGCTGGTGGGGAAGAAGACTGGCCTGGCTGAACAGAGAGCTTTGGCTGGAACTCAGGAAAAAAAGGAGAGTTTATGACCTTTGGAAGAAGGGACAAGCACCCGAGGAGGGGTGCCATAAAAGACAATTAAAAATGTTTCTATAAATACATTAGCAACAAAGGGAGGGATAAGGAGAATCTCCATCCTTTATTGGATGCAGGGGAAAACACAGCGACAAAGGATGAGGGAAAGGCTGAGGTACTTAATGCTGTCTTTGCCTCAGCCTTTAGTAGCAAGACCTTTGGAAGGTGTGGGTTCTCTGGGTACCCAGCCCCCTGAGCTGAAAAACAGGAATGGGGAGCAGAATAAAGCCCCCATAATCCAAGGGGAAATGGTCAGTGACACCACTTGGACACACCCAAGTCTATGGGGCTGGATCAGATCCATTCAAGGGTACTGAGGGAGCTGGTGGAAGTGCTTGCCGAGCCACTTTCCATCATTTATCAGCAGTCCTGGCTAACCAGAGAGGTCCCAGGTGACTGGAGACTAGCAAATGTGACACCCATCTACAAGAAGGGCCAGAAGGAGGATTGGGGGAACTACAGGGCTACAGCCTGACCTGGGTGACGGGGAAGGTGATGGAGCAGATCATCTCCAGTGCCATCATGAGGCATGTACAGGACAACCACGTGATCGGGCCCAGTCAGCGTGGGTTTATGAAAGGCAGGTCCTGCCTGACTAACCTGATCTCCTTCTATGACAAGGTGACCTGCTTAGGGGATGAGGGAAAGGCTGTGGATGTTGTCTACCTAGACTTTAGTAAAGCCTTTGACACTGTTTCCCACAGCATTCTCCTGGAGAAACTGGCTGCTCATGGCTTGGATGGGTGTACTGTTCACTGGCTAAAAAACTGGCTGGACGGTCGGGCCCATCTTCAGATGTAGAGCCTCGTACTGTTTTAATTCCTTCTTTAAAAAAAACACAAAAAAACCACCAAACCCACCCCCAAAAACCCATGTTTATATAATTTTTTCCAGTACCTTTTTAGCTGTAGTTCCACCACCTCCAGACTCAGCTAATAGAGAGATACAGCTATAGGGAAACTATGATGGTTTATACCTGGTAAGATACTAAATTAATATTTCCTTTAATGTCACTGAATAAGCAAAAGATTTTTTTTTTTAGTGAAAAATAAAATATTATTTTTGTGCTAATGATATAATGATAGTTTAAAGTGGTGATTTATTTTTCCCTAATAGCAGGAATAATTAAATCTTTTGTTGCTTTTAGCTCTCCTGAAAAGTATGTAGAAATAGATATGTAAGAACATTAAATCTGACTGCTGTTTTTGTTAAGTGTGTTGCTGTAGAGCTTTGGGAAATACAGGGGCTTCTGGCAGACTATTGCTTTGAATTTGAATCCAATCCTTCTGTGGAATATACAGAGCTTTTTTGTCTAGTTTTATAGACAATCCATGAAAACATTGGAATCTTCCTGTTACTCTGGGTCATTGAGCTAACAAATTTTAGTTTATAGTCGGAAGAATACAAGGATCAAAATTATCACGTGAAGCCCCATGGGGGAAAAAAAAAAGCTGATAAATGAATTGATTGATAATGTAAACCATTTGATCTGAGACTTAACTGTAACAGAAATTGAAAAATGTCTTTAATTTTCAAAGAACCCTAATTTGAGAATGATCATGTTTTTTCTCTCTGTGATAATCTAGTTTGAGCATCTTATATTTTTGGACTCTCCACTTTGTGGGGCTCCACTCATATTTTAATAACTCAGGTGAAGATTACAGTCCACAATATAAGTTTATGGGTCTGGAAAACAACCTCAGTTCCCTTATTTTTTGAGAAAATAACAAGCTGCTTGCCTTCATGTATTAACAATAGTTATTAAACCTTCTCCAACTGTTACAACAGTTGATAACATGATCAAGCAGATAGTGGAAGAGTTTTATGTCTTCTTGAACAAGAGCATGTATCAGTAGAGCACAACTCATTGGAAGCAGAAAAAACCTACATTTTATAAAATATTTTTTCCTCTTCAACAAACACATTGGCTCCAGAAATGTTCACTTTCTCCTTGTCACAGCTCTTTCAGTAGTATGCTGTACAGGAATCTAACAAATCTACCCTGTGGATAAAAATGAGCAGATATGTTGTAACCATGCACTCAGCCAAGTAAAATATCCTGCCATTCCCCACATAGCATATTTGATCTGCTCATAAAGCCTCATACATCTTAGTTCTTTGTATGAAGAAAAAAAGCAACTGCCTTTTTTTTAAAAAAAAATATGCTAGCTTGCAAATTGAAATGATTTTGAAGAAAATTTCCATGGTGGTGTTCTACTGAAATGTGGCTAATGGAGCTGCCTTATGCAGGAGGTTATTTACATTCTGAAAGGTTTTATAAGCTCTCAATGAAAGGTCCCTTGGGCTGTGCCCCTAGTCTGAAACTCATTTGCTACAACATACAAAATTAGATTTAGAAAACACAGATTAGACTTAACTGATTCCTTATAATTAAAAAGTAAAAAGTTTTTGTGGTTTTAGGCCAGCTTTAAGACAATGTGACACTTTAAGAAAAAGGATACTATTCCAAATATTAATATAATAGTAACTCCTGGTAGGAAATTTCATTTACATAAGTTTTGAAACATACAGTCACACTGAAAACTGTTTGTTATCCTGTCTTGTCTGTTGTCCCATGTTCCTCAAATAAGAAAGTGATGTCAGATGCAAGAGATAGTTGCCATCATATTGTCTTTGCAGCCTGAGTGTCAGCAGAGCTCTGATCTTCCCAGCCTTTTCAGTTCCACTTCACATCTTTTCCAGTTCAGAAAAGCCTATGATTAACTCAAAATTGATTTTATTTATCTCGTTAAACTGGGACTGAAATTTTTAAGAAAGAAAATGTATCAAATTATTAAGACAGAAGATAACAGACAGACATGAACACATACAGCTGTTGAAATGTTTGGTTTGAAATTATAAGAATACAATGAGTAACACTTCTTTTGTGAACAGAACCACAGCAAGTGACTGATGTTAATGCAACATTGACAGCTGATAATGCTGTCCAAATTAAGTGCAAAAGTCAACAAGTGTATGGAGCAAAAACAGTATTTGAATTGACTTGGGAAAATGATGGAACAACGGACTTCAGAGAGAATCACTGTGATTTTAAAAAAGAAAATCTCTTGTACTTGACAAACTATACATTTTCGGTAAGTAGGCTTATTAAATTAAAAATATAAAATATTGCTGTATTTTCATTGTTTAAGCATATTATACTTGATTTTTGGAAAAAGGCAAATATGGTGGCAGAGGAGTTAATCTATGGATCTGTAGGCCACAGATGTAAAGAAGTAGCTATTTCTTTGAAATATAATGCATATGTGCTTAGCCTATCATTCAATACCTTGTGTGCTACCACAACACATAAGTTCTGACAGCACAAAAAATACAAGCTGAATAGACTGTTTGTACTTGGGATAGAGAGAAATTGGGTTTCCATAAGTTTTAAAATAGCTTCTTAAGCATAACTGATATTTTAGTGTTTAAAACACATTTCATTTAATGAAAGTGCAACTGTCATTTCAATCAGCGGACAAATATGGGATTTAAGTCTTGAGATAATTGCTCAGGAATTTTTCTCTGCGAAGATTTTAGATGCTTCAGGGACTAGCTCGTATAAAGCAGTTCACATCCTTTTGCATGTCCTTACATCAGCCTTTTACAAGCCAGTCCTTGTTTCCATACAAAATATATCATCCTCTGTTTACAAGCTTCACTTTCTTGAAGGCCTCCTGCTATTTTCTCATCTTTCAGGCATTTCATCCTTTTGGCATTTGTTGTTTGCAAAGCCAATGGTCTCGTGTGATCCCCTTAATGTGGCCAGGAATATTTTTTTATATCCTGATAGCTCCTCCCAGTAAAGTTTGGGCAAGAAAGTAACCAGTAGGAATGACAGAGTTTTATTACTTTTAGGAACCAGTTTAATTCCTTTTCCACAATCTTTTCCTCTTTTCTCTGTGTCTTCCTGAGGAAATGCAGTGTCAGAGAACTTGAGTAGTCTAGGTTTTGTTCCAAGGCTTTGTGAGTATTTTTCCGACAGATTCTGCTCAGAAAGCTTTGTATTTGGAAAATGAGGTCCTGTAGGAGCAAAAGATGCTTGCATTGCCCCCATATTACGAGACCCCTGCACTCTTGTAAGCTTTTTGTACACCACTTGCAGTGAGCAGTTTGCCTTATGGAAGCAATTGGCTTCTGCTTGGCTCTGAACCCCAGCTTCTACTTTGAACATATTCTGCCCAGTTCTTACCGGAAAAAGAGAGAAAGCCTTATGGCCTTAACTAGTAACAAAAGGATTCTGGTACAAGTTATGGAAGGCTCAAGAAAAAAACCAACAAAACAGATCACCTGTGAGAGCTGGCAGATATCACGATTCCCTTCTATCTGCACACTGAATTGTTCAGGGAATAAACAGGAGCCTACCCAGCATACTTTTTGGTTTAGTGATGTTTTGACCCCGACTGCTGCACTAGGTTTCTGGCTTTCGCTATTTGAGAGGCTTCTTGCTTGTTTTCCCTGGCACCTCTGCTGCTCCTCTGGATGTTGTCACCTACCATGGCATTCCTCCCAGCTGCAGAATTCAGAAACCTCCAACCTCTTGAACACATTGGCCTTTTAGAGCAGAGAGTGGGAGCTGGGGTACGGTCCTCTCAGTCTTCAGGAGAGGTTTCTCTTAAGGGATTGGGTAGGCTCATTAAGAACTCAGCCTACTGTCAGCAGTGGTGCTGAAAGCCCATCTCCTCCCCTTTTGGATGATTTGCAGCAGGAGATTATTACTATTAAAATCACTATTATTCAATCCTGATAGTATTCTCCACTGTTTAGTATTAAGTCTTTAAGTTTAATCGTAAGATTAATTTTTCTTCACAAGAAAAGTGTCCGATATTTGATGTATAAACTTAAAGCTGCCTATTGGGAATTTCTATTAGGGAAATTTAAAAGATTGGATAAATGTAAAATATATTATGAAATATAAACACTTCTAAAAAAACCAATATTTTAACACCAGTTAAAGTACCAAAAGTTAATGTTGCAAGAAAGCAGCTTATTTAAAAGTTTATTTTGGCTTCTATAATTTAAACTTTTATGAATTAGTTTCCATACAGGAACTTGTCATAAAAATATCCAATTCAGTTGACTATTTGTATATTTACTGTTGAAGCAAATAAAATAATGTTGTTTTATTAGATATTGCATGGTTATTTTTCAGATTTGAGAGACCTGATTTTGATTTGATAAGAGATAGATTCTATTTCTTCCTTGAGATACATCCGATTTTGATGTTGTAAAATGTGCTTCCTGTTTCACTAACTTTTTTTTCCAGTCATCTATGTATCTTTGGATCTAGAACTTGCTGTAACTTAGGTGGAAACTCGAGCTGCACTATAAATAGCTATATGAAGATTGAGATTGATTCATTGAAAATAAATGAATGTATTTCAAATATCCATTGCGCTTTGCTTTTAAAAAAAATTTATGCAGAAATTTTTACTTGTTAAGATATAACAACTCTACTATTCTCACCCACTTCATGCAGATCTTAGTGTTTAATGGAGAACATAGAGGGCAGCCAGTAAAGAAGAGTATAAGAACCAGATGTAAGTAAATATATACAGCATTTTTACTTTTAGACTTTACCATAGTATAGAGTAATAGCGTAAATTGTGAATTCCTTTACAATTGCTTCTAATTAAAAATCCAAACTGCCTGTTTTTATAGTTTCTAGTTGATCTGCATTTGAAAAAATAATATCCTCATTCAGCATGAATGTAACAGATCATGTTGACAAGTCATTGACCGCAATTCAGAATCATTACACAGCTGTAGTTTCTTCATTCTGCATTCGAATGCAGCTAGAAATTAATTTCTCTAACTAGAATTATTCACTTTAGGATTATTTTCCTGTGTTCAGATCCTGTGTTTCAGGAGCTGAACATCTGTGACTTGTCAGGGATTCCCAGCTCCCAGATCAGGAGCAGCTGAGAGCACCACTGCTCAGGTGTACAGGTCACACAGAGCAGGAGACAAGCATAGTAATGCCAAACCAGTGAGTGAGTTGTAGCATTTTGACAGGTGGACATGGAAAGTTTAAGTGAAATTTTTCCTAATGAAGAAACAAAATTCTCTCCTTTTCTGTAAGCTTAAAATTTTCAAACTTAAACTAAACACTTAAAAATAATTGTTTAGTTCTTTTAACAAAAAAACAAACAAACCAAAACAAACTATTCAGCCCTGGTTCTAGGAAGCATACAGATTAAAAAAGAAAAGTAAAAAAAAAAAAAAGAGTAATTTTAAAATGACATTAATTATGTGTTCAAGAAATAATAAATGTATTCTTTTTCTGTTGCTAGATAATTCTAAAGCCCTAATTATATTCTTGGTGTTCTTGATTGTTGTGACATCAATTGCTTTACTACTGGTTCTGTACAAAATCTATGATCTTCACAAAAAAAAGCTTAGGTAAGCTTCGTATTTCTCTCCCTTTCTTATATAAATAGCAGTGAGGGGTGGGGGGGAGGCTTTCTGTTTTTTCCACAAGATTTCCCAATGGATAGTGCAAAAATGTTACAAGTTTGATATTTCATTAATACTGGGAAATTATGTTCTTTTACCTTTTGATCCTTTCAAAAGAAACTCAATTTTTGGTGGTTTGTCTGACAATGCAAATACAATGAAATAGATTTTAAATCTCTCTGCTATACCCTTCCTCAGAGCACAGAAGAACTGATCTGCTACAACAAAATATTTTGTCACTAGTTTTGTGAAAAATTATTCACAAATATCTGGAAAACCTTTCTTCTATGATTTAAGTTAAAGTAATTAAAATAATACACACTTTCTTGGAACTCCTTCAAATGCTTGTTCACCGCAAACAATATCTCAGGGAGGCTTTGTTTATTATAGTCATCTCCAGGTGACTTAGCAGTTCTGTAGGACAGCGGATGGCAATAGAATGGTCATTGTCTTCCCTGATGACTGTGCCAGAGCCCTGGAAAGTCAGGCTGACTGCTGCTATTGCTGTGAAGTGAGGTGGTGCAATATGTGAGAGAGCTTGTAATGTGGTCTGCTGGTTATGAACAGTCTTGATGTTCACATACAGAACTGCTTTTATTTAACTTCTTATCATATATGCATCTTACTAGTCAAAGTTTTTACAGATGCTTTTCCTCCTTACAGCAGTTCTTCTGAAGCCATGAACCTTGTTGCAGGTGAGTATCTTTATGTATTTAGCAAGTAGAAATAAAACTAGTCACATGTCTTGCTGCCACCTCTGGATTGTTTACATTCTAGGTTGTATACATAGATTACAGATACCAACATGACAGCACCTTATTTGGGGAAAAAAAATGCCACTTCAGTAAATACATAGCAAAAGTATTTATACTTAAATGAACTGAAAGTTTATCAGTGTTTGAAAAAAATTTGTTATTTAATTATAAACCCAATTGTGTTATCCTAGACAATGGTTGTGATATGTTTAACCCTGAGAGTAAGTCCAGAATCAAATACAGCTTCAAGCAGAATTTCCCTTTCCTGTGCACCTTTTTAAAAGCAAGAATTTAAACATAAGCCAGTTGATTTTTACCACAAAATTTTAAAGGCTTTCAAATCCCAAAGACTGAAAGCAAGCATTATGTCCAACTTTTTGCACAAGATTTCAAAGCCTATGAGGAAAGACAGAATCAGTCAATACTAGAAAGCTTCACGAAAAAAAATTATTTATGACATTCAAGCCCACAGACATTAACTACATTAAATGGGAAGTTATACTCTGTTGATACTCAAATCCATTTGATTAGACACATGGCTGTTAAAGAAAAAAAAATCTTTTCAATGTAAATGAAAAATGAATAAATGTCTAGTTAGAGATGTTAAAACTTGTTTAATCATTACTTTATTATTAAAGATGATATTACAGATTATTGCACCTCAGACAATTAGTTAGAAGAATTTGGAAAGGTAGGGAATAGATGTTACATTTGTAGGTTGTTTGCACAGTAATCCATTTCACCATTGATGATAAATGATCAGAATTGAAGTAGAGGACAAGGTCATGTAACTATTGTGGTCGTTGGGGCTGTTGCTGTGACCTGAATACGACAGTCGCCACTGTGTACAACAGCACTGTTAATGCAATGTCCCTGCACGTGGCGTCCTCCTGAGGTGTCTCCAGTCAGGCAGCAGAGCTGAACAAGTTCTGTTGTTCCCAGGGCCTGTTTGCTCACAGCTGGCTCAGGCAACACCATTTCTTTGAAAAATAAACATGCGTAGTTAAAATAAAGTTTGTCCTTTTGCTAATTTATCTGACAATTCGAGAATCACATTTACTGAAATGTAATTTACATTTTCAAAGTCAGTAACGATAAATGTTCAATGTATTTACACAGTTAAAGATGATGACAGGCAACTTCTGAACATAGAGCCAATACCTTCGGAGCAATTGCTAGACACATACAAGAGGAAGATTGCTGATGAAGGAAGACTTTTCTTGGATGAATTTCAGGTTTGTCATTGGCCCCAAATATACCACAGATTTGTAGCCAGGTGGTTGGAAGAATTCTGTTCAAGAGCATGTTTGAAGTATATGCACTGGTTATAAATAAAAAAGTAGGAATCTAGAAAGTTGAATGAATTATCATCTAAGGTCAAATAGGCTTCAGATAATTTTGCTGCCAAGCTCTCCTCATTATAAGATGATGGTACTTTTTTTCCTTTTTTCTTCCTGAAGGTGTTTTTCAGGAAAAGTATAAAACACACAGTCTAAATACTTCTTATTCTAAGGTACATTTTAATGCATATTTTAAATTCTCTTACTGCATAGCCATGGGGATATAAATACTATATAATTGTGGAGAGATATTTATATTAAGGGAAAAGAAATTTGTTTATTTTAGGTAGAAGAAATATATGAAGTAGTATCATATGAAACAGAATGTTATCTTCCAGATTCAGTAGTACTAAATTTCTTCCATATGCATTTGACTGTAAGTAGAAGCTATTTTAAGTATATGCTTACCTAATAAAAGAAACATTGTATTTTACAGAGTATTCCTAGGGTTTTCACTAAATTTTCAATAAAGGAGGCCAAAAAAAGCCATAATCAGAACAAAAACCGTTACATTGATATCCTTCCATGTGAGTATTTGTTACAGTTTTTGCATGTTTTATAAATAACTGTTTGCTCAGTGCCATGAGATAACATAATTATTTTGTTTTAAATTATTTAAATAGATGATCATAACCGTGTTGAGCTCTCAGAGATCCCAGGAGACCCAGGATCAGACTATATAAACGCAAGTTATATTGATGTGAGTGACTTCTACTTAAAAAAAAAAATCTTAGGCACTATTGAAGAAATTCTGTAGTCTGTACATTTCATGCATCAAACACCTTTGAGGATTTCCATTTGAGTTCTTTCCATCTTTGTAATATATTCGGTATTATTGGACTGTTGCATATTGAATTTATTTTTAAAGCTGCAAATCTTTTAAATTGTTCATACTTCCTTTCTCAAAGTTGATAATGTTGTACTTTTTATAGGGCTTCAAAGAACCAAGAAAATACATTGCTGCACAAGGTAATTTTTAACCTTAAAAGAATGTGCTTTCTTTATTCACCCATTTTTTTGTTAGCGTAGTAAAGAAGTCTTAGTAAATTTAAAGAAAAATTGAAAATCTGACATTTTGAAATTTAATATGAAAAAGTTGCCAATGAGTTTTTGCTTAGGGAATTTTGTGAAGATGAATAAATTATACTTCAAAGGCAGATTTCTCATGATGTATAATTTTACACCAAAAGTTTTCAGATTTCACAGCTATGTACTAAAAACATATATATGAGACTTTTAAAATGTTGTAGCCTAATGGCAGCATTCATAATGAAATCAAGTGTGTGGCTATTATTTGCATGGTCTCTAGTTAGCTTTTCAGACTGCATGGCTAAACATGTCCAGAATGTAAGTGGTTTTTCATGTAGCTGCACTCTGAAAAACTCCCTTAAAATATCTCCTGCTAGGCCCCAAGGATGAAACCACAGATGATTTTTGGAGAATGATCTGGGAACAGAAGGCAACAATTATTGTCATGGTGACTCGCTGTGAGGAAGGAAAGAGGGTAACAAACATCCATCCATCCATCCATCCATCCTTTCAACCATCCATCCATCTTTCCATTCTTTTGTCTGAAAACAGAATGGGTTGCTGTGCTGTGGTGAATTGCATTTTCTTCTTAGTACTTTGTTTTCATTCTTTGCTGTTGTCTTGTTGTGGCAGAACCTATGTTGCAAAGCATGCCAAAAACAGTGTTGCCTTATGGAATTACTAGTCATATCAGAAAACGTCACTTTAGTCACAGCTGTAAGTAGCAGAGAGTCAGCTTCCAAATTACAGCTAATAAATCCCGAAAAGGGCTCAAGGTAGAGCTCTAGCTCCTCACAGACCTGTCAGAAAATGTATGGTTTGTATTTTTCTCCTGTCTATTATCTTCTGATATCCTGGCAATGCCCTCAGCTAATCCTAGACAGAATATTTTTTTAAACCATTGTCTTTGCCCTTGCTTTGTCTGGAAGGTTGGGTGCTTCTGGCTTGCTTTTGTTCCTTATTCCAGGTACAGCGGGAAGAAGGGGAACTGCTGTTTCAACTGCTTTTAAAGATGAAAATGTTGGCAGCATGCAGATTTACAGCATCCCCAAGTTGATGTTATAGGCAGGTGGGAGCAACGTCCCTCACTGAAGACTGAAAAAGAAGCCATAGAAGTAGCTGCAAACTTTTCTACAGCCTTCAGGCAACAGCAACAGTAACTGTTCACTTTTTTGACTAGTATACAGGATTTTTTCCCCACTTTATGTTCCAAGTTAAATTCCATGGGCATAAATTTCAGGTTAGAGACCTGAATCGTTGGATATTTGGAATTATTTAGCACTGACATCCTAAGTAGTGATAGCCTTTTCAGGAGAGGACGAGACCTGTGAGAAGTTGGAAAGACTATACTGAGTCGCTATCTATTTTACATCAGGCTTTCTTCTAGCTCTCAGCTCTCTGCCACTTTGCTGTTGTGCTGCTCACCTAACTTCATATCTTCATAGAACAAATGTGCCCAGTACTGGCCTTCAATGGAGAATGGCTCTGCAACATATGGGGACATCATTGTGAGGATCAATGAAAGTAAAACATGCCCAGACTACGTCATTCAGAAACTACACATCACAAATGTAAGTTGATTCAAAAGCATAAGACTGACTGGAATAGGAGTATCTATTTGGAGTCTGTAGGTATCGTTGAGAGGTCCTTTTAAGAGGAGAACAGCCAGCTATCAATGGAAGATGCTCTGCCGTTTTTCCCTAAGCAACATAAAGTTTAAGAGAAAACTTCTTAGATGTAGGTGTCATTCCTTACAAGAAATATGAGTTAGACATATATTTCCCAACTTAAAAATGTATTTTCCTTAGTACTCTGCAATCTGCATTTAAGAGGAAACTGTTAATATGCTGATAAGTGTGTAGAAACTTATTGCACTGTGGTTTCCTTAGATATTTAACTTGTTCTTAAACACAGAACTTTTACTGGTTTATGTGTATCTCAGCATAACCCTCTACAAGCAAAATCAATGTGATGCATAGAGCACCATTATCTACCCTCATGATAATTGCACAGGGGGACAATTACAAATTCTGGTAATCTCAAGTACATTTATAAACATAAGTGTTTTAAAATTACCATTTGTAATAGTACGTATAGAATCATTGAGGCTGGTTAATTACTGTCTTTTATACATCTGAAATCACATTAGTTGCCCTGTGTGTAATTGAGAACAAAATTTGCCATCTGAGGCAAAATGCTCCTCTCGGGCCCTTTATGCAAATATTTCAGTGAGGGTCAATGGAACATAAGTCATAGCTAAAAGCATTAAGAGTCAAGTCACAGATCTTCAGCAAAATAGTCAAGCAACAGACTCCACCCATCTCGATCCATGATTACAGCTGGAAATTTCCTATTCTGCTCTCTCATGTTGCATTAAAATTCACTCAGGAAGTGGTCTGATTAAAAGAAAGTTGTAACTGAGTGTGAAGACAGTGAGAATACCAGGATGTTAAGAATTAATTGTTAACAAAGACATTGCTGTGTGACTAGAACAAACTGGCATTAGAAACAAGAGACAGGGGCAGGTTAAGGACTGATACTTTTAGAGCTGTCTGCTCTCTGTTCAGCTGAGATCACATTAATATAGATAAACCTGATATTGGTTGTGGAACTTAAGAGTGGTCCCGGGCGAGAAAGTGGAGACTTCCACAGTTCTGGTGGAATAGTAATGTATAATTACTGAAACAATGGCAAATAACTGTATGAATAACTGTGCCACAATTGGATAATTCAACTTTGAGTAAGAATTTGGGGGTTAATTACTGGGGAAATGCCCATATAGCCCTACTAAATCTTGGGCAGTAAAAGAATGCCATTGAGTTATCTTTCTCATTTTGTTTTATAATCATGGTTATCAAAATGTATGTCCTCTCTTAATCTTGCAGCAACATATTAAAGTAGGACTCAAGACTTCACATGCTCTAAGCTTTAATCAAGTGACAAGAGAGTTAGTCTCATTGAAAATCATAGGTTTTCTTGTATCTACTTCTAAACAGTAGAAGTCTGAGTTACAGTTTAAATTATTTTTTTTTTTAAATCTGTTGTACCCTCAGCAGGCTACTCCTAGGAGACATAAGAGAATTACCAACTTGTACCCCTTGAAGTAAGCAGAGCTATACACTGGCCAAGCTGTTTATGAATACAGTAGGGAGACATATTATACCCTGGATCACAGGCTAACCTGAGAAAAAGGTCATTTTAGCAACACTTTGAACCTCCTGCTTGTCCTCTATTGGAGTCATTGTGTATTCCTGATTCATGGATATTTTGAAATTAAAATTGAGTATGAAAAATGTTGTAGCCTGAGACCATTGGGATTACAACATTATAGCACACTGTTTTGAATTTTCTGTTTCAGCATTTGATGACTGTTGCCTTTATTTTTCTTCTGCTTTGTGTATCTGCACTTGATTTTGGCTTTGTGTATATATATATATA